GTCGAACTTAATGAGTCTGCCCTAGGCCCACAACCAAACAAGGAACATGACCCAAGGCGGACTCACCATTTCTTAGTCGATTGTCTCTTATTTACACCTGTCCTTGAGGTATACATTAAGAATTCTTGGAGTTACCATAAGCAAATCGTTTGTAATACTAAGTTATGAAATATTTGATAAATTCCCAATGAAATAAAATGCATGCCAATTTCATTGATATAATCTAGTATATAGGGTTTGGGAAATTTTTTGACCTGATAATAGGTCTACATTTCGTTAATGTAAGGAAAAGTTTTAGAAGTGGCATGAACCCTTTGAATAGTGAAATCCCTAAATTTTACGGGTCGAATTTATGTATATGACGGGGTAGTGTTCACGCGCAAGCCAGTAGTTTTGAGTATGTATCGATATGTTAGTAGTGTACACACTACTCGTGGTAGGTGATGTTTCGTGGGCCATAGAATGAAGGCATGGAAGTCCGCATTGACCTAACCTCTGCCCTGGCTTCTATCTTTTGATGTGCTGCTTTTACCACGTATTTTCTCCAATGCTGTTTGACGTCCCCAATACTCTTCGATTCTTGGCTCAAGTTGTGGTCACTTCTATTTGTAGGCCTTGATGTGGTTTCTGGCCTGTCATGTCCTCCATCCAGGTGACAAAGGCGAATTTTGGTGATCTTGGTGATAACACTAACCTTCCTGATTCGGTTGACCAGTGCTCGTGTTTGTATCCCTTGGTAAGCGATGCGGTATACTATGAAAAAGAGGGCCCTGTCTACTGATCCTCCTCCATTGACATTGTAGAAACCTCTTTCCATACTGTAGGTAGGGTGATTGACATTGTCTCAGAATCCATCTCTTTAAATCTACGACTTATCGAGGTGTCAGACCATGGAAGTCTTGTCGAGATGTAGAGTCTGGAGGGTGTATTGTAGACCTCGACTCCTTGTCAGAGTCTTCTCTTATTTATTCTTTTTTGTGTTTTACTTTGGTTTCTCTTCCTCTCATTCCTCTTCTAATTGTGTTCTGGGTCTTCCTCCGTTATTTCTTCAGGATCCTCTTCGGGATTTTCTCCATTCTAGTCACCATTTTCCCGGTTAGGTAAATAGGGGTCTCCTGGTAGTTGAGCTCTTGCCATGTTGTTAGTGCGAGAATAGGGGTAGATAATGTAACACCCAAGATCAGAAAGGCCATGTAAGTAAAGAAAACCCTAAGTCAAAAGGGTCAACTCGTCGAGTCCAGGGAGGAACTCGACGAGTCGGAGCGCGATCCGTGTCGCGATTTAAGTGACTGACTCGACGAGTCGGGGAGACTGACTCGGCGAGTCTGGTCTGGGTTGAGAAAGCCCTAATTCTGCGACTTGTACCCTATTTAAGCATATCATTCTCCTTCTATCAGCCTCATTTGTAGCCCCCATTGCCCATAAGCTATTCCACGAAACCCTAGTGCCCTCTTTGAGTGTGTGAGCCATTGTTGAAGAGTTGGAGTGTTCTTGAAGCCTAGAAGGAGAAGAAGGAGTTAAGGTTTCAAGAAGAAGGTTGTGGATCCAAAAGATTCATCTCTTTAGCTGCTCATTTTGGTAATCAAGTTCCTTCCTTGCCTTGTTAATTGTTGGATCATTTCATGTCCCTTTTTATGAGATTTTGGACCAAGTATGATTCATCTCGGGTTTGGACGACCCCAAGCTGAATCCATTCAGCTCCAGTTGTGTCCTGGCCTAGAGAGTCATAAAGTATTAGCCTTGAGAGTGTAGGTGATGCATGGTTGTCTTAAACCTTAGTTTGTGGTGTGTTTAGCCTAGATCTCCTTAGCTACACGTAAAGGTTGCAACTTTACATGGGGAATGGGCTTTGGGTGAGTGGATCTACAGTTTGGAGTCCCTACATGACTCAAAAGCCTCTGAATGAATAAATGACTGAATAGACTCGGCGAGTCCTTCGAGTGGACTCGGCGAGTAGTATTAAGATTGGGAAGAACTCGACGAGTTGGATGAACAACTCGGCGAGTCAAGTCGCGAAACCCCAAACCCTTCGAGTAACACTCGGATCAGTGAGTTGAGTGGGGACTCCGTGAGTTGGACAAGTTAGGACTCGGAAATCGGTAGACTCGGCGAGTCGAGTCGCGAATGAAAGAATTCTGAGCTAATGAACTCGATGAGTCAGTAGGCAGACTCGGCGAGTAGGGTTGACCTGGAAGGTTGACTTTGACCAGGACTTTGACTTTGACCAGGGTTGACTTAGTTGACTTTTGGAGGACAGTTTGACTAAGTGTTATATTGGTATTGATAGCTCGGGGAGCTAGTGGAGCCGCAGTTCAGAAAAGTTGTCGGGCAGCAACAGAGGGGTTTCAGCAAGCTCAGCAAGTGCAGGTGAGTTTTCCCTTTGTGTGAATGGGTCTAAGGCCATAATGCTGGCCCATGTAGATACGAGTAGGAAGACCCAGGGGTTAGCTCTAGGCATTGTATGCCAGTATGATATTTGGGACTTAGGTTCTATGTTAGCGGGCGGGTGCCCAAGGAATGGTTTTTATGATAGTTATACTTATTGTTTGTGTGATACATGTATGTGCCTGGTAGGGAGGTGAGTGTGGGCGAGGTACATATCTCACCAATAGCAGAGTGTGGACGATGTTCCACATCACATTAGCAGCATAGTAGGGGCAAGGCCCAAGTTAGGGAAAGAGTGAGTATGGGTTGGGCCCGTATCTCACCACCAGTAAGGGCGTGGACGGGGTTCCATGACTCATTAGTAGCAGGACAAGGGCGAGGCCCAAGATAGGCGAGGCCTCAGGACAAGATTTATTAGTATATGTTAGCTTATGTGTTGGTATATGCTTACGTGCTATTATATGTTAGAGGGCGGGGCCCAGTGACAGGCGAGGCCTAAGTGAAACAGATCTGTATCCGAGCGGGGATCGAAGCCAGGCGAGGCCTGGAGCGGCGGGGCCGTTGTAGCGGGTTAGGCCCGAGGTAGGGCGAGGCCCAAAATAGCGGGCGTGGCCTAGTATGTGCAGTATGTGGTTATGCATGGTATATGGTAGGTTGGGGAACTCATTAAGCTTCGTGCTTACTGTTTTCAGTTTTGGTTTCAGGTACTTCCGGTAGCAGAGGGAAGAGCTCGGGATGATCGCATGGCACACACCATAGATTAGTCAGCCTAGGATGTTTTACTCTGATAATGAACATGCGTTTTGGAAATTAATACTCTGATTATGTTATGGATTGATAATTATGTTTTAAGTAATGTTTTATAAAAGAAATTTTTAGTCTTGAATTTTGGGACGTTACAGATAAGATGGTTATTAGACGTCTAATCCTACAATTACTTATAGGGGTGATCCTTATTAGTCACTTCTATAATCACATAGTGAATACCAGTTATACATAATCTGAGATAAACTAGACCTTCGAATAGATGACTCTACTCTAAATCCACAACCAAACAAAGAACAAGAAGTAGAGTAATAGTCATAGATTCTGAGTCTATAATATCTTTGATTATGTACAACCTTAGCGTATGCACTTAGTCATTTTAGACCTACTAATAGGGGCCTTTAGTTTGCACATAAGTTAGTTATAGTTCCACAAAATACTCCAATAGTATTTTAAATGTTTGACTTATGTTCTCAATGTTTCTTGGTAAGATATAGACTTGTTGCAACACCACAACCATTATTGGGCATATGCTAATCACTTATGGAATAGGCATAGTTGATCAGGCTATGTCATTCCCATACCTGACTATATATTCCATCTCATCACTCTCAGCCTCCATCTTTCAGAAAACGTTCCAATACCCTAGTCCTTGTGAGAGAGTATGAGTTGGTGGGTATTTTGAATTATGGGCTAGCTGGATTTGGGCCTTGGCTGGACATTATGAATATGGTGTTTTACACCAAGTCTTGGTAATGGATCTTGGATTTAGGCCCAATTAGGTAGTGGGCCCAATTTGGAAAGTTGGGCCAATGATGGGACTTGTTATATGGACTTATGGATCATGTGATTGGTATTGGGCCATGACCCAAATTAGAGGGAACGCAAATGGGGCTATTGTTATAAGGGATTCTTGGTCAAAAATTATATTCCCGTTTATTGACTTGTTATTCGCTATTTTGGATAGTTTGGGATTGTCGGTGAGACGATGGTTCGGGAATCTGCTTCTTCGGTTCAGGTTAGCATTTCGAGGTGAGTTATCCTCATTATATCAACAGGGTCTAAGGCACAAAGGTCGGCCCTTTCTCGGATTGTACACAAGTTTTGATATGCTTATTGATATGTTAGATATACATCTTGGTAGTTAGGATGGAATATTGTTAGTGACCGGTTAGGTCAGTATCCTGGTTAGGAGGTTGTTATGTTGTATGATCTGTTAGATCGGTTTGTTTGTATATGGACTGTTATGTGATTATTTTGCTATATGTGTACATGGTTGTTTGTTTGGGGTTGGGTTGAGGCGGGTCCTGCTTTGTGCTGTAGGCCAACATACGCAAGACGGATCGGATAATCTGCAGACCCGGAAGGGCACATAGTCAGGTTGAAGGCCCAACGAGCGATCTGGATAGGCTAAAGGCCCGAGAGGGCGGTCTAGACGTGTCGAGGCTCGGAGAGTGGACTAAACAGACTGAAGGCCTGGTGCGGGCGGTCCAGTCATATTGTAGACTTAGGGGGTGGACCAGGTGGACTGAAGGCCCGGTGCAGGCGGACCAGTCACACTGCAGACTCGAGATGCATGGTTGTTCTGTATTTGTTGATACAATATGATTATGGTTATATGAGGTTGGTATTTTGGGGGACTCACTATGCCTCGGGCTTACAGTTTCAGTTTATTGTTTCAGGTACATTAGGGGATCACAGCAAGGCGAAGGCGTGATCGTACAACTCCTCATGATTTGATAATGTTCCCGGGAAAACTCTGATGTTTAAACTATTTTGAAAACAAATTGTAATAATCGAATGGTTTATATGAATTCAAAAGTCTTAATTTGGCTCGAATTTTATGGATGTTACACTAACCCTAACCCTAAATGCTCCTCATCCTCCAGCCGCCACACTCGCCTCACCCATCTCCAGCGCCGTTGCCACCCCGACCACATAGCATCATCAAACGCCCCTGTCACCGGCAGTAACGAATAACGATGGAATCCAGGAAACGAGTGCATGTGTATTGCTGTTGTTCGCTCGTTGATTGCTCTCTAGTCGCCACCGCCATCTCCTCCACTGTTTACATTACCATCCATCCTTATCCCTCCATCTTCCAGCCGCCACCAACCCCTTCGTCACCGCCATGAGCTACGGACGACCATCTCGTGTCCAACTTCGTTGTCGGATGTCGTGAATGGCCGAGAGGGAACCACTGAAGATCATTGCAGTTGTTGCCGACGCAGGTGTTGCTGTTGGAAACAAGGACCACCGATGGGTCTGTTCCTCTGCCGTTGTTGTTGTCGATTGAAGCAGCCATTGACGTAGGGGAGTTCTGCTGCCAAGGGATGCCATTGCTGCCGTTTTCTTATGCTACTTCCGTTGCTACCCACTTCAATGGGTGTTGGGTTTATTTCTCCGGGCAAGTATGTGCATGTATTGCTGTCGTATGGTGTCAATTTTGTGTCGTGTGTATGGGTCGCTGTCTTAGCCCGAATCACAAGAGGTCCACCGCCACCATATACCACCACGAGGTGGTTGTGTGTGTGTGTGTTTATTAGTGAGTATGTGTGTTATTAGTGTTTGTGTGTGTGTTAATTGGATGGCATTGTAATTTGTAACAAAATGGAATAATGAAAAGAAAATTCATCACCACCACTGTAAGGTGGTGGCTGCCGCCGTGTTGGGAGGCGATGTGCCTTGTTTGGTTTGTGACTCGTTGGATGCTTGGACAAAGGGACTACCAAACCCTAATGGGCTCAATGAGACTTTAATGAGCCCAATGAAGCCTAATGGACATAAAAGCCCAACCATTTGATTAATGGGCTAATATTTGGGTTGGAAAACCTTAATGGCTTGAAACCCAAATTTTGGGGATTGATCAGGACATGCGGGAGTTATTTAGTAGAGTTAAAGTATTAATTAATGATCATTGGAAAATTAACCTATGGCAATATTGGACTTAATGGATTAAGTCCTTAATGGTTTAAGTAAGAAACACTTAACCATGTAAAGGTTTGGGCCCAATTTGGAAAATTGGGCCATATGTTGGGCTTTGGCCCATACTTGACTTTTGGGCCTTTGGAGTGTGAGTTGGACCTTAAGCTTGGAACCCAATTACTAATTGGGTGTTGTTTGATGTTGGCAGTTCGGGAATATGTCACCCAGCAGCTGGAGTTTCATCCGCGGGACTTTAGCAGTGTCAGGTGAGTTATCCTTACTATATCAACAAGGTCTAAGGTACCAAAGCTGACCCTTTATGGATTTTATTTGGATTATTGCATGTTATGCTTACTCATTTGCATCCTGGTAGTTAGGATGGTGATGTACTATGTTTTAGTGACCCGGTTGGGTCGATATCCTGGTATATAGGATGATGTTATGTTAGTGACTTGTTTGGTCGGTAACCTGGTTATAGGATTATTGCCATGCTCTAGGATCTGTTGATCAGTTTGAACGCTATGTATGCTAGCATATGATATTTATGTGCATATGATTATTTGTTTGGGGGTTGGGTTGAGGCAGTCCTACTTTGTGCTGAAAGCCAACATACCTAGGGTGGTCTGGACAGACTACAGGCCCAGAAGGGACCTTAGTCAGACCGAAGGCCCGACGAGCGGTCTGGATAGGCTGAAGGCCCTACGAGATGGTCCAGATGTGCCGAAGGCTCGGAGAGCGGTCCATATAGACTAAAGGCCTGCGAGGCGGTCCAGTTAGGCTGAAGGCTCATTATCCATGATGTTCTGTATTTGTTATATGATATGGTTATATTTGTATGGCATTGGTATTTTTTGGGAAACTCACTAAGCTTCGGGCTTACAATTGTTAATTATGTTTCAGGTACTTCTGATTATCGTGGGAAGACGAATGCGTGATCGTACAACTCCTCATATCTCATGATTTTATGATTTGATTTTGGGGATACTCTTATGATTAAACTATTTTGAAAACAAATTGTAATAACTTAATGGTTTTAAATGTTTTAAATTGGCTTGAATTTTTGGGATGTTATATAGACAAAGTACAACTTTTGTTGTTATTTCGTTAAACATATTTATATTAAGTATCACAATATAAACGAAACCTTTCTGAAAATTTTATACTATTGAAATATTTTTGAGGAGCATCCCATGATTGAATATAGATCCGACCATAATTAAAGGTGACTCGAGAAGAGACTGTTGGACTAGCAAATATATCAATATCAATACAATAGATCACCGAACTGATTACGTGTGGCTGAACTTAGTGACTATTTGAAAAGGTGACTAAGTTGTCACCAATTCTCCATGGTCATATTATCAATATGTTTACCTGTCTTCAAATAAAAATAAAAATTTGATGATTAAATATTTTTGAGAAATCCAACTAGAATAATTATGAACATGAGTTACTCTTTGTTAATTTTCATTTTTTAGTAAAAGATAAAACATTGACATGGCAATTCACCCTGCAATGTAAAACCCCCAAAACATCTTTTGTCTGACTGCTTTTTTGTTCTTTTCTTGATTTTTAGGAGAGGAAAACGCACCAAATAACCCAATTCAGACAATATTCTACAGTAAAGAATTCGTGGGTACCTAATCAAAAGCTCAAATATCTCTCTTACCTCCAATTCATCCCAATCAAAATATTTTTGCAACTAGGGTTCCTCTTCTCGGGTGCGTTTTCCCGGAATCTTTGCTTTGATTGTCGCGGAAAACATCATCGCCCGATTACAAATTCATTATCAATAATTGCTTTGCGTCCTCTTCATGTGTGGGCTTCCATAATTTCAGGGTACTTGATTGCTCCAACTTTTTTGGGATTTTGCTACTTCAATCTTGTAATTTCATGTTTTTATATCTTTTGATTGATTGACACAGTATCAGGTAGGGCGAAAGAGAGAGGAATTCCGGTCAATAGTTGGTGAAGATGACGACTAGTCAGTCCGGTTCTTCACGAAGAAGTATGGTTTTGACAGCTTCATCTAGGAAGAAAGCTTCTGAAAATGGTGCCAATGATTCCAGCCGAAGATCCATCACTACTCCTCGTCCCATGTACGTTTTCTTCTATCCCTACTCGATTTCAATCATCGAGATTCTCCAATGTTTAATTCACATCTAGATTACACCACCTATCTACAAACATCGCAACAAAACCAATAATTTCAACGAGATCGAATCCCCCTTCCACCTTGTTTCATTACGTTGACTATTCTAAACAGGGGGCCAGTCGGAGAACGCACAGTGAAACGATTGCGTCTCTCAAAAGCCTTAACAGTTCCCGAAACCACAACCATCAATGAAGCCTGCCGCCGGATGGCCGCCCGGAAAGTCGACGCCCTTTTGCTCACAGACTCAAACGCCTTACTTTGCGGCATATTAACCGACAAGGTATCTTTCTCCCTCAAAAAATCTTCATTATTCCCATTAATCATAAACAATCTTCACTAACTAGCTTTTAACCTAATCGAAGGATATTGCAACAAGAGTCGTCGCTCGTGAGCTTGATCTTGAAACCACCCCTGTATCAGCAGTAATGACACGAAACCCAGTTTTTGTAATCTCTGATACTCTCGCTGTTGAAGCCCTGCAAAAAATGGTGCAAGGTTTGTCTCAACTCTCAATCAACAACACGACACTCTCATCTCCATAGTCTCTTTAAAACCTCGGAATTTAAAACTTCTCTTACAGGAAAATTCAGACATTTACCCGTTGTAGAAAATGGAGAAGTTATCGCGATTCTTGACATTGCAAAATGTTTATACGATGCAATTGCTCGAATGGAAAGAGCAGCTGAAAAGGGGAAAGCCATCGCTGCTGCTGTTGAAGGCGTTGAAAAGCATTGGGGCACTTCCGTTTCTGGTTCGTTGACTTTTCTTCTTCTTCTTCTTCTTCTTCTTCTTCTTCTTCTTTGACTTATCACATTCACTTATTATCTAGGTTCCAATACGTTTATTGAAACACTCAGAGAACGATTATTCAAGCCCACTTTATCCACCTTTATCTCAGATAATTCAAAGTAGGTAATACTAATACTACCTTAATACCTTTACTTCAATCATTCATTAACATAAAATTTTTCACGAACTTTTGAATAAATTATAAAACTGTTCATACATTTCAGGCTTGTGACAGTTTCGCCCTCTGACACAGTTCTAATGGCAACAAAAAAGATGTTGGAGTGTCGCATTAGCTCTGCTGTTGTGACAGTTGATAGCAAACCAATTGGGATTTTAACGTTAGTTTTTGTAATTTTTATATAATAATAAGATATTGTAGTAACATTTTGTTTTGTATTTGTTGTATTATAGATCAAAGGATATATTGATGAGAGTTATAGCATTAGGGCTTCCTCCTGAATCAACAATGGTGGAGAAAGTAATGACTCCAAATCCAGAATGTGCTAATATTGATACACCTATTGTTGATGCTCTTCATATAATGCATCATGGAAAATTTTT